CCCAGTCAAGACTAAAGAGTGTCTGTTCCTCACTCGAACTCGCAGAGTCCAGACGGAGTCCGAGCTGATTTTCCCCCTTTATGATTTCTTCAACCTCAATGGACATTATTCGCTTTCCACGATCTACGCCTGACGAATTCCTGTAGGTCTCCTTCGCCTCCTTCACGCTAACATTCCAGAAAATCTCAACTTCGCTGCACCGTGTCAGAAACGAGGTTCGTGTGAATGGTCCTTGTCGAGCTCAAGGGTTCGTCACGCGTCATTTTCCGATTTATTCCCATTCATTCGACGATATCTCGAACAGCCAGTCCAGTAGCAGACGCTGTCCTCAAAGCTCGAAGCAGAGACTCTAAATCAGTGAATCTTCTGAATGGCGTCATCAGGAGTTACGGCATAGATGAAGGAGTATCGCATCACTCATCGGCACAGCTCGGAACGCAAATCGTCTGAGGTCTTCGATTTGCTGCAAAGCAACGCGTGTACAGTGGCTAGATTTCTGTATGAGATGCTGGAATGCTGCAGCTCACGAGCTCCGATAATTGTAAGAAGTGAGCACACGAAACAGACCAGCAGCGCCGTTGATTCGGCTCGCAACCTGCGCTTTCACCGGGAATATGAGGGAGGATCTCCCGTTCTCCGATCCTGGGGTTTCATTTCGAGAGTCGTCTCGCAATGCCGAGCCCTTTTAACGATTCCTCCATTACGATTTGTACAGAGGAATGCGCGTATTCATGGACATTGTTCGAGTCGAAGATCATAAATGATGGTTTAGCATGACATCTCTACGTCAGCCTCTGAAAGCCGTGGAGGCAGAGCTCATCGATCGATCTTGAGTTGCGATCCCTTGGGTAAGATGGAGCGATGCGGAAACGGGAACCACGGTTGGCTCATGACCGCTTCCCGTGAGGAGAAATCCGGCCGGATTTTTCCCAGGGATCGTGGCAAAAGTGAGAGCTCAGAGAATTCATCGTGCTGCGAGCTTTCGATACTGAGGCTGAGCCTCCCAGTAGCCTTCAGCCATCGCTCGCCGAGTCTGATCGATTGGATGAGAGAGGCCGCCTCGCTTTCAACAAGCGAGCGATAGAACGTTTCTCCAGACATAAACAATCCCTTGGGCAGTTCGTCGAAAGATGTACAGCAGAGAAGAATGAGGGTCAGGGTAACGTGGGAAATTCGAGAATTCTGAAAAAGCCAGTCCGCCTCTCGCTTATCGAAATACATGATAAAAGTCTCCGTGGAAGTACAATCGTACAAGCCGCAAGATCAGGTTCGATAAATGTGCCGGTGAGAATGGGGAGCGCATTCCAAGACAGGACCGATTGCTCCGGATACGATATGTTAGCGATCTGAGTTGAGAGCTATCTGACATCTCAAGGCCGTCGCAAATGAGAGGAATGGAACAATGGTCTAAAATTTCGAAGGTGCCGCTGAGTTATCAGCGGGTCAAGCGAGAGCCGTCTCTGCTCGTCGCTGATGACCAGCAGTACGGCGCGTCTGCGTACGTAATCCCGAGCAATTGTTTCGCAGTGAGATATATGAGAACGCTCCCTGGTACCACACAAAAATGGAACCATGCCGAGCATTTACAGAAGTGACGACAGGAAGCCGGGGACCTGCAGTCGAGCGTCGATATAACAGATTTCGTTCCCGCAGCTCCCACGGCGAAACCAGGACTAATGGATTATATTATCATTCCTTTCTTTCGTCCGATACGGGCTGTCACCATGAAGCGAATCATCGCAGAATTCACTTAATCAAGTACACTATGGTTTCTGCGGAGCCATTCCAGCGCGAGGGCTTGCAATGAGCGCGACAAGCCCCGCACTTTGTATCAGCCGTCTCCTGGCGAGAAAAATTGAGCTATTTGCATGCCTCACAGCTCACAACGGAGGGGACCAATGGCCGATCGGGTGACGGTTGCCTCTCCCGCTGAAGCAGAGCCCTTCCGTGCGTCGGATACTTGGTTTCTCAAGCATCTCGGCGCAGCTTGATTTTTGTAGATCGTGATTACCTATGTGATACCGTGATTCCTGTAGATCGCAGATGACAGAAACAAACTGTCTGAGATGAGACGTGCGCCGCCGAGACCTGTTGTCGCTTGTACCCCGCGAGAATCCGCACCCCATACGATCACGCTTTCGAAATGAAGGCTGATTAGACGGACTCACGTTTTCTCAACGTGAGGGTCGGATCTCGTGGTGTCTAACTCTGGCTACCTACGGAAAAAACGACGCGGGTCATCCATGCGATCTCGCAGCTTATTCTCGAAGAAAATACTCGAGGGTTGGCAGCGATTGTCAAGTTCTGATAAAATCTGAAAACCCACCGAAAGTTCAGATGGAGCAAAGTTCCCCTATTCACTTATCCCACGAAGAAAAACTCGGCTAGTGACAAAGGCCGCGAGGCAGATACGCCATCCCATGTTTTCGAAATTTCGCCGAGAAAATCTTCCTGCCGCACCGATCAAACTTGATAAGGATTCAGCTGTATCTTTAAGCGCGGGAAGGAGTCTTACTTGCGACGGCATCGGAACGAAGAGATGCCTGTGGATGGACTCCTCCGTTTCTCGGGAATATTCCCTTGATCGAGTGTATCGCGGATTGCGGATGGTGTTCTCCTGAGTGAGCTCTCTTCGACCGTGCGAAACTTGCATGACTCCGATACGGAGCAGCTTCTATTCGAGACCTGGAAACCGAGGTTCTCTCTCACCTCTTTGTGGCGGTGCAGAAGCGCGAGTTCTGTCAAGCATTTGATGAGTAGCTCATCAGTCACGCAGGGGCGATAAATTGAATCTGCCACAGGGCCTGGAGTGAATTAGGGCTCCACAAGTTTGATGCGCTCATCACACCTTCTCTGTAGTTTTTAAAACATGTCCAAAATAAGAGATTATCTGAAATCGAGGCGGTCTACATCAACCATTGTAATATCGGGAGCACTCGGGTTCTGATTCGAATCAGCTCTGACGAATTGAATCTATCGGCCTTCTGAGGAGAGCGGGACATGAATCGTCGTAATAAAGCACAGCGCTGCATGATTGCATGTATCAGTGAAGAGTTGCCACCGGGTAATGACCCAGGGAATGATCTGCATCACGATGGCAATTGTGTTGACAGCGATGCAATCGGAGAAGACGAGGCAGAACAATTAGCGGTGGAATCATTACGATCAGCGGCGGCGCCAGCTGGTACAAGCAAGAACAGCACTGTCCGATTGGAGACCGTCGCCTAAGCTGTTCTCGGACACAGACTTCGATCCAAGGGCGCTCATCGATTCAACTACACTGTGCCTCTGCGTCGGCGTGCTCAGCTCGAGGCTGTCTTGCAAACACCGCCACTGGCGTCATCAGACCGGATTCGCTTAGTGGAGCTAAATACAACGTTTGATTCACAGCAGAGATTATTATGCAGCTCAACAAGGACCAAGTGCCCATTCGCGGACAAACTCTATCCCATGGTACGACTTAGTGCTTTCGGATTCAGCGTGGTGTAATTGTGGCGTTTGACGGTCTTTCCCCAGCCGCTCGGTCGGCTGAAGAGCGCAACGACGACATATACAGCCCGATACGGAGCGTAGCGTTATGACTCGCGAGCTGGGTAGCCGCCGAAAAAAAAAAAGAATGAACAGACCGCAGTTCAATCGACCGGCCCTCGAGGAGTCGACCGTGAGAGAAAATATCGGCCCGACACGATGTAGCGAGATCTCCCAAGTCTTCGGACAATCGAGGTAGGCTGACGAAGCGACTGGAAAGGAGAAAATAATATTTGGTCTTGTGTGTGTTTTCGAACGGACCGACACGTTTCATCACCACGCTACTCCCGAAGTGAGATTCATTCTCCGAAGTTTTTTTCAGATTGACAGAAAATCCTTTCACGGAGTCCTGGTCTATCGTTCCCCGTCTCCGAAACTACGAGGGAACCCCTTCGGTCTGTGCGCTCGATAGTCGCGTGATTCAGAACCAAGAGAGTAGAGGCTTGAGGAAATGAGGTGCGAGAATCCGGCGAGACAGGAAACGATTCAGAGAGGCCGTGAACACGTTCGTCATCCAGCCTTCAGTGTAAATTACGCCATTGCCGGACCAGACCAACAAGGGGCGTACCCAGAATTTTTCCTGTGGGGGGGGGGCGGTCTCCGATCTGTATGGGGCTAAGGATCCAAAATGGCGGCCCGCTTCTGTCTCTTACCATGAAGAAACAATGTCCTGGGGGGGGGGGGGCTATAGCCCCATACAGCCCCGAGGTGGATACGCCACTGGGTCCGACAAACGAAAATTGAATGCATCGGGGAAGCCGCTGCACGGTGCGGAAGCTCTTCCGATGTTGACTCGCCCACGACGACGACGCCATGCTCCTTGATAGGATTATGTGATGTTGTGATCAAATACGAGCTATATTGGATGAGACGAGGAGACGGATAAATACGAAAAAGCTCTCCTGTTAGCGGGTCCGGTGACAGTGGAAAGATGACGAGAGTGCATGGGGCCGCTAATGCCTGGCTATCGCTAGAGAAGACTAGCACTTCGTCCGCCTAGGTTGCCCTTTCGTTTCGGCGTCAATTCCATGAGTGATCCTCAGTCGGTCCCGCGATCTGATGCCGAAAAGAGACGCTCCATAGGCTCATTCGCCAACCGAGTCGGGAAGCTGGCGGGGTAGTCGGAGGCGATTGAACTCGATACTGACTCCAGGATTCGATGCTGTATCCCTGGATTTTCTGGAATAACCAAGAGCGGTGGGACATCGTCATGGACACAATAATAATTGTCGCGCGGAGGAGTCCCCAGACAACTTAGGGCTCTCACCCGTTTCTGAACGCCGCTTCAACAACCGACCCTATTGTCCCCTTGCCTCCTCGCGCGGGCCGGAGTGGCGATAAAAACGGTGGAGCCCGAACCCGACCATCATCGCAACAAGCGACCACAGCAAACAGCGGATAGAACTACACCTTCGGAACGACTGTGACAACAAGCCGTCTGCTTCTGAGGAGTTTCGTGACCTCAGAGAAAAATGAGGGTATCCCTTCTGTCGGTGCTTCTGTTCGGTACATCGGCCTACGGAGGTTTCTTCGGGGGTGGTGGCTATGGAGGAGGGGGCTACGGACATGGAGGATTCGGTGGACATGGAGGATTCGGTAGACATGGAGGATTCGGTGGACATGGAGTATTCGGTGGACATGGAGGAGGCTTCGGCTTTGCTGGACACGGAGGTGGCTTCGACTTCGGTGATGCTAACGGTGGCGGCTTCGGTTACGGAGGTCACGATTCAGGAGCAGACGAGGATGCTGCGGCTCTTTCTGCCGTCGGCCTGACGCGACTTCTCGGAGGTGGAGCTGGACACGGGCATTTGATAGGCGGCGGCAGTGGTGCATCGTACACGATCTCCGGACCCACCCAGGTTATTAATTCCGTCCACAAAATAACCACGACCAGTAGCGGGGGTCAAGTTCTTTCGCAAACTGCAGGTGGTGCTCACGGAGGAGGCCAAGCCAAAATTCTCATTGTCAAAGGAAGTGGCGGTCGCAGAGGCGATCATGGCAGTGGTTCCGGAGGAGGCAGTCACGGCGGTTGGCAGCCAGGAGGGCATAATAGGGGCCACGGGGATTGGCAGAGAGGAGGTCCCGGACAAGGCTGGTGAAGATATCCTTCTGGGCAGGTCTCGTATGCGAACGGAGGAACACCTGTACATAAACTCATTGTGAATACTTGACTGATGGTCGTCTCACCGTTGTTCACCGAAAATCAATAAAGCTCTCCGAACCGAGGTTCCTTGATCATTGGTCGTGATTCATATCAGTCTCTTGCGAGAATTATGTTCAATTTGTTGACTTTGATCTCTCAGCCGTCCCCATTATTGCCCTTTTTGAGGGCGGAAGCGAGCGCGCTGCCATGACTTGTGGCGCCACCTATCCTACGGAACGAAGCTTCGGCTATCGCGAGCTCGGCGAACACACATTGAGGGCGCTCCGTTTCTTCAAATAAGAAGCGTCAGATATCGTGGAGGCTTCCTAGGAAAAAGAATCCTCCTTACATATAGGGGAAGAATGACGCAATGCATTTCAGACTCTGAGTACCTACTAATGAGCTGATACGGTACAGGAAGTCGAAGTTCGACCGCGAGAAGCTCGATTCCTTGAGGCGATTCCGAGACCGGGCTCTTCCTTCGACTCTTTCCCGCTCGGAAGTGAGCCGGAAATCACTCCTGGAAGGTCGGATCAATAGTCCGAAAAAGTTCCTGTTCGAATATTCAGTCAGGCCTTCGGATGACTTTTTTCTCAGCTGAGACCCTAGGATGTCACATGGATTACCCGTCACCTCCGTTCCGAATAAGATGCAAGCCAGTTCTCGATTCCTTCCTCATTCACCCCGATGCCTCTCTACTGCGCAGTTCGGCGACGCGGCACGGCATATGGACGGGCTCCAGAAGTCAACAAAACTCTGGATTGATGCAGTACACTGACAGAAAAGTCCGGGTGGGGCCCCCAATGTTGCACAACCGGGACGAGCTCCAACAATTTCGGGGAAGATGGATCTCTGGATGTTTCGATCTGCCATGGGGGAATCGCAGTATTGGGCCGTCGATTGCCCTTGTAGACACGGCGATAAAGTCGGTCACAAGCCCCAGCAATGAAAACCAATACAGAGAACTCCTGACTGATATCCCGTGGACAAATGCGAGCTCCGGTCCATCCATTACTAATCATAGCTCTATGATTCCCCCAGAATGACTCTAAAACGAGCTGTTTCACTCGACTCTGTTTCATGAGGTTCGAATTCTTACCGGTCAGAGAAATTCCTAGAAAGTTCCCTCGATTCCGAAACGCCTGGGAGGTTTCTTCAACTCGGAAATTCCTGAAAGGTTCCCTCAATCCCGAAACTCCTGAAGAGCTCCTTCAATTCCGGAACTCCTACACAGCTCCTTCAACTCCGATGTTCCTAGAGGTTCCCTTCAATTCCGATTGCTCTAGAAACTTCATTCAATTCTGAAATTCCTACAGATTTACTTTAGTTCCGAAATCCGTGGAGAGTTCCGTCAATTCCGGAATTCGTGGGAAGTTCCTTCAATTCCGGAATTCGTGGGAAGTTCCTTCAATTCCGAAGTTGCTGGAGATTTCCTTCAATTCCGCCATTCCTTAAGAGTTCCTGCTCATCCAGCCTGGTGGATTCCATCACGCGGAAGAGATCGATAATACCGGCTGAGAGTCTGACGTCTAATGGGCGTCCTCACGGAACGGAGATCTCTTGCGCGAATCGTTAACCTTTGCAGGAGGCATGCCTGTTGCGGCTCTCTCGAGTACGTTGATCAAGGATATGACCCAGATGATCGAGAAAACATAGTCAACTTACAGGAATCCAGGTCGAGCGGGCCTTCCCCCACCTGCAGGCGGTTTTTCCCGAGGTCGATGTGAGCGCCCGGAAATCAATTGTTTGGAGTCGGTGGTGAGCATCTAGAGTCTGGATCAATGAGTCTAACCGCAATCATTCCTCCCGAAGAAGAGCGAATTCCAGAATCGCTTCCTAATCCGATCAAGTTGCGTCGCACGGAAGCTGGAGGAAACCGCGCTCTGAGCGCCATTTTGCGCCTGCGCGTTGGAGGCTGTGGGTGGGAGTTATACGTAGGAGGGAAAGACGAAGATCCTGATCCTCCGGGCTAGAGCAGGGTTTGAGTTCGCGAGGACAACATCTCCTCCTGCGGCTCTCATCAATCTGATTGCCGTTATGTAAAAGGCTTCCGTTTCTAATTTGCGCCTGTTTTGCGAGCGACTGGTTGGCGGACTCTGCTAGGAATTCTCTTTGGTTACTCGATTAAAGAAGAAAATAATCAAGAAGGGTGCCCGCCAGTGCTAGTCTGCAAGCTTGAGGACACTTGTGTTAGCGTGAGCGGAACGGGATCGCGAACAGCGTGAAGCTGAGACAAGAACGTCGCGTCAACATAAATCTTCTGCATCCGTTCAATCCAACAACCGAAAGTGAGTGAGCCCACAGAAAATCTGAGAGTCGCGTGAGAGCGAAGACTTGCAGCAGCCAAAGCGTATCGCAATCAAAACATTGCTTCCTGAATAGGTCGCAGATGATTGAGTCGGGGGAAAAAGTGGTTCTTTTTCTGTGCGGATCTTCCATGAGTCTCGAGGCGATCATTTGGAGTGAGATTTCCTATCCCGACGTGGGAGGATGAGATCCGGAAAGCACAATTCAGGATCAACCCATCGGGAACATATCTCCCTTTCAAATTCAGAATTCTCAATTTTCCACTGCGGCACCATGGGGACAGGGACGATTCCAGTGGAGTGGCACTCATGACGTGATGGATGTCCGATGCTCAGCGATGTAGCAACCCTCCATGAGAGAATATAAGAATTGATCGTAGATAGCTAATGGAAAGTCTGAGAGGGCCTCGAGTCATCCATGCACGGGTCAAGTTTCGCACAGAGCGGAGAATCGCAAAATTTCGATTCCGGAAGAGCGCGAATGATTGTGTGGAGTCCATGAATCACGCGGAGAAAGAACTTTCATTCAGTCTCTCCATGTGACAGACAGTTCCGGGCTGCAGTATGTACGACGGTCGGACAGGAAAACAAATGGGCTCGGAATAGATGCAATACTCGATGCCGCCCTCATCGAGAGTCAGCAGGACGCGACAACTTTTGCTTCCGGACGCAATTTAGGCGGTCGTCACGGCGGTTGTGGCGGAGGCGACATCGACATCTGTCTCTTTCCCATCGTAGGCTCCGATTCAGCGAGCAATGTGTGCGCAAGCGGATGCCATAGACCGCCGCCGCAGCGTCCTATGCTGACGTTTCGCGGTCTCGAAACCGCACGTGGGCGAACGTCGACAATAGAATGAAGAACTTGATGGACTGGTGTCTGCTCCTTTATCACGACAGCGCTAATCGAGCGCAGTACTTCGGTCGAGTCCGAGAGAGGATTTCTCATCTTCTCGTAGCGGCACCGCCAGACGATTGGAGGCACCGATACATGAGCCACCTAGTGACCCCGTCGCTGTGGAGCGACCTGGTATCACACGGAAGTTACGCTTGTGAGCTTGTGGTCAAATCGAAGAATTCCTTGAGGGTGATGCGGTAGCTCTGTGAAGATTCCCCGCTCGGAAAGCCTTCGTATGACGAAGATGAGCTCGCTTGTGAATCGCTTCGACTCCAGCAGGTCGGTTCCTCGAGCTCTGTGGAACGCGATCCTTGTATGGTAGAATCTCCGAGCCATACAAACATTCCGAGCGTTCCGGCATAAGTATATCAGGAATCCCGGCACGAATAGCCTGGGACATATTGTCCCTTTCCAGCGGGGAAAAAAGGTTGAATCCTTTAGGGAAGCTCGAGGAAAATGTAAATGCATTCGCTCCTTGCCATCGAGCTTCCAAGGGAGTGCATTCCGGCAAAGGTAATCGAGTCACCCTCTCGAGGGTAGGTCTCCGTGAAGTGAATCACTTGCTTTCCTTAATGATCGCTCGCGGGCTAAGAGTTCTGCGAGCAGGCACGCCGGCAGGCACGTATCATTCCGTTGCAAACTCACTCGGAGAGATCGTTCTTCTCTTGCTGTTCCCTCTAAACGTGCGGCTGGATCCGCGTGCATGTGCCAGAGACAATGGGATGGTATTACCAACAGAACCAAATTCATCCGCTGCAAGTGCCGAGGTACGGGTGTTTGTTCCTCCTCTGCGTGATCCGGGAATGGTAAAAATCGTCCCGGACACCAGAACCGCTGCTGCAGTTGAACCATGCGGCAGAGCCGGATGACACTGTTATCATCGGCCCCGAGCCACAATGCCCCAAGCTTTCGCTGTTGTTGTGGCATCGGTATCCCAGACGGGGGAAATCTTCGTCGACACAAACAGCCGGATATCAGATATGGCGACTCCTGTCCAGGCGGTTGCGGCCGAGCAGATGTCGGAAGGACACCGATCCACAGATATCCTTGACGTACGTCTACCCAGAACATTCAGCTTTGAGTGACAATGAAAAGCGTAGAATATGCGACCCCCAGATCAGGCAGGCCGATGCTGCTTATATCGTCGGTCTTCCTTTGAAATTTTGTCTCGTGCCGGCTCTCATCCATTTGACTTCAGGGATCGTTTGCTCGATATCGCGGAATCCGAGCAATATCAATCGCATACGCTATCTTGCTTCCGTCGAGAGAAGATTCCAAGAATAGTCCTAGAGCTGCCGAACACTCAAGACTTATCACAGGAGGGATGAAAGTGGGATTTTCGCTCGGTCGCCCGCTCGCTCGACCGGTCGCTTGTAGTCTATTCTGGGACACCAAATCGGCACACGGTGGAAGGAGGGCCGCGTATTTCCATCTCGTCCAGGATGGACCTCGCTATCTTTGCGGCGATGTGGATCATTTTGAATTGCCACAGCCCGAGTTTGCAGGACCGAGTCGAGGAGCGCGCCGAGCGCACGATTTCGCCGACACGAGGCCTTACGGGAGGATGACGTCGAAGTCACTGCCGAAAGTCGGAGCAAATCGACTGCTCACCTTCCCAATGTACATATAAGTTGCCCGGGAACGATATTCATGGCCCAATCGGATCGGGTCTCTACGGAGCACCGAACGGTACAAGGAATCTCCAGATGGAGAGTAACAAAAAGACTACTCTGGGCGAGCCCTCCTCATTTCTAGGTTCTTAAAATCGGCGCGAACTCGGACCTTCACGACCCCGAAGAGTCCTGATGCACGAAATTGGCTCAGTAGACTTGCCCATAGAAACCGAAAAGTCCAACAACTCTGCGTGGCGAGCTCGAGAGGTGTTTCCAGTTGCGAGCGTATCCTCCTAAGGCAGTGTCCCCGTGAGCGCTTCAGATTCGACCCTACGAAGAGCACGAATCTCTTGTCTAACGCATGATGAGAAGCTATCTAGAGGGCGCAGGAAGAGCGGAATCTTATTGCACAAGTTGTCTATCGCGCTCCTTCCGCGCATTCAATTGAGAAGTTCACAATTGCTAATATTTCCATCCTCCGGTCTCCGAGACACGATAGACTGCGACCCCCTCATTGAGCTGGCGGGTTTCGCGTGAGCTGGCCTTATCCCAGGGAGCTTATCTTCCTAGAATTGAGATTTCTCATCGCTCGGTCCACGGCAGCATTATCCCGAGGCACCGGCAGGGGCAAGGCAGACGAGGTTTCTAACCTTTGTGCAGACGACGGCTCTGATAAATTCTCGAATAATGTCACATACTAACAAGGACGTCCGAGCTTCCCGCATGGGAGCTCCTCGTCCCGTTATGTCGAACTAATAACATACACCGAGCTAAACTTTTTGCCTTCTGTGCAAATAACTGGCGGGACCATGGCTACGCTATTTCTTCTCGGTCGACGTCCGCGGCAGCCGTAACAGGAGGACTCGCTCAGAGCTCGACCTTTCCAGCCGGGAAACGGGCTGACAGCGCACTTTCTGTCCCTGATCACATATTTTCACGGCTTAGCCCGAGTTCCGACAAGAGCCGCGGAATCTGGATGAGACATACTCACTCAATCCGGAAATCCTTTGCCGAGAAATCCGGAGTTCCATCACGCTCTCAATGCTTGCGGGGAGCCCACCTATCTGCGATCCTGCAAAACCAGGCGGGTATTTCAAGCGAATCATATCCGCCTCGAGCATGAAACCCGCCTTCGAATCTCCCGGGAGCGAAGCATCTGTTTCTTGCCAAATCCTTCACTGCCCTTCCAAGAGCTATCGCACTGTACGTATCTCCTCCAAGCCTCTTATCTACCTTGAGTTTTCGTGCCTCACCAAGGCAGGCCCCTTCTCCGTACACTCCGACTAGGATGAAATTCCGTGCGACGAACACTTTCGCAAGAAATACCCGATATCCTTCGATTCGACCATTCTCCTATCTTGAGGAGAAGGTTGTCGTTCACTCCGAGGACGAGAACGATACTTCACAGTGATATGCATTCATGTGCTTCCTCAAGGCAGAACCGATCGAGTAGTAAGGGGTGATCGGGGTCGGAGAGACGCGAAAGAGACCTCCGAATAAGCAATCGCTGCAAAAGTTTATAATGGGAAATTTCCTCCGAGAGCTTCGAATTCCTGTCGATGTAGCCTGGAATTCCGACAGTGATATGCTCCTTGACGACGCGACGGTCCCCGGAGCTCGGTGTCAACAAGCCAGCATCTGAACCCGGCGTGACAATTTCTCTCGGGAGAAGCTTGGAAGAGAATTCCTGCTCGAGCGATCTGATCGTCGTTCGACCCCATATCCTTCATTATCCTCTCTATGGGAGAAGAGAGATATCTTGGATAGTGGTATGGGGACCCATTATTCCAAGTCCTGAGAGAAAATCCGCCGAATCGAGGAAATAAGCAAGCAAGTATTTTTTCTCCGTTGGAGTTCCCTCTCCGACCAGAGTTTCGCGCCCTCCTAATGTGGAAATTCTTGTGCAAGTACAGCAAATCCCACAATGGTGATGTATTCTCGAAGGATTCGCTTCGTTCGAAGGAAGGGCTTTTTCACCAGCAACAGTGAATGATACCGGTGAGCTAGTTCCCATCCAGGAAACTTCCTCCTCATCATTCAAAGCCTTCCGTCCGACGAGCTTGGTGAAGGCAGCTGTATGTGTATCGAGATACCTCCGTCATCGATTTCTCAGCCAGCGGGAATATCCACTAGGAAGAAGGTCTTTCGAGGATACGGGAGATGGCCTTATGATGCATGGGAGGCAGGAATTCACAAGATATTAGCATCAAGCGAGAAGCGTCCGCCATTCTCGCAGGAGAGATATATGGCCTCCATAGGATGTTGGAGCGAACAACATCGTTAGCGTTCTAGGTAGGAGTCGGGGAACGGACCTCGATCGCGGGGCATGAACGCATAGGAATTGGCGTGCGGCTCAGCGAGTGGCATCAGGCGTCTGTGACCGCGATCGTGACCCAGGTTCCTGAGCGCAAATAATCCTGAGTTTCTCCAATTTATCCGTGACTCCGTGATGAAAATGAGGGTCGCTAAAAATGCTGCACATCATAGATGCAGTCATTCTCGATCCGTTTTTGGCCATGGGAGCTTTTCTCCCGATCTAATCGCTCATTCCCGAACGGAGTAGAGAGACACTCGTACGCGGAAGGAAATTCAGATTCACGGAGAAAATCACTACGCAGCGAGTTGAAGGGGAGATGTAGGCAGGATACCAATCCCATCCGTCTGCTGCTTGCTACTACATAAGCAACTCGAACGTCGTCCTTCATCCCGCCCGCGACGCCGCCCCTCACGAGAAGGAAATGCTCGATCATAGAGCAGAGATGCTGCTCACCAGTCAGTGAAGAGTCGGACTGACCGCGGGTCAGCCAACGGAAGGCTGTGGATTGCGGAAAGACTTTCCTCCGAAAATCGGAGACATGCCCACTTCCGCCGGTCGGAGCCTTCTCGGAAGTGTATCTGGACCGTGTACGATCAGGGGTACGATCTGTGAATTATTAGACAAGAAGGTACATCCGAACTCATGCTCCCCTACTGGATCCGTATCGCTGCTCAACGCCGCCGGAACCGAGAGCGGATTCTTTTTTCGGCGATCGCTATGCGTCGAAGCACCGAAGAGGAAGTTTTGAGGAGCGCAATGGTCTCTCCCATTTAGCCTCGCGGAACGTGGTCTCCACCGCCGAGATTCCTCAAGGGCTCTCGGTGTCTTCTCTGCTCGCTTCCTCCTGCAGCACGATTTCCTTGTTCGTACATCTTATGCACGAGTCTTACATTATCACAAAGTTGCTTCCCCCGAGGGGATACGGAGTCCTTTATTCTGTTTGTGCATGCAGTCGCAATTTTTCTTTGTTATAGAAGAAATATTGCCTTCTTCCTCGACTGCTCAACGCGGTCCCGGGTGGATAATTTCTCAGCCGGCTGGAAAGGCTCAATCAGGTGATGCCGATCTGTCTTCTCCATTCTTGCACGGCCGATACCTCCGGATTTCATCGAGCGCGATTTTTGCGAAGCTCGGTACGCCGAGCTTTTCATAGGCGTGAGCTGGACCCTCACGCGTCGACATTTCAGCCGGGTAAATTGGCACAGAAAGGCGTCTCGGATAGCTGGGAGAAGCCTCCTCCACCGCTCTTCTCTCCGTCGCATCCGACAGCGAACAGGAACCAGGACTCCCCTGAGGGATGCATCGGGGGATCCTTGAGAGGGAGAGAGAGGGGAACGGAGCAGCCCTCATAAGATTTCCCAAACGGAGATTTTGCAAGGCCTCGGCCGTGAGGAACCTGGAATGAGCATTCGGTCGATGGGCCCGGTCGAAAGTACCTTTAGAAGTTCTGGCAATACTTCCCGGCAGACCCGTCATTATCCGCGCGAGTGGCGTGTTTTCCGATTCGACAGGACTCGCGAAGGCCGGCTATAGCTGAAGGTCGTTCTCTTGCTTGAATGAAATGTGTGTGCTTGACAGAAGGGCGTTCTGCTTTGAACCACAACTACGACGCGACGGAGGCCGCTGCCGACGCCATCCTCACCTGCATGCAGAGAGCATTTTTAGAGAAAGACGGGGAGAGGCGGATAGACGAGACGGGGCTTTAGAGCAACAGCATACATAATAGATGGAGGGGACTTTGTGCAGGCGAGAAAGTCGACCCACACCCTGAAATGCTATTGTTGTTTCGTCGCAGAATTTCAGAGAACAGAACCGTTCTGAACAATGGGAGTCGGTATCCCCCGAATCCAACGAGGGGTCCACGCCTCTAAAAGGCTTACAAGTGCGCGGTGATGATGAAGTGACGAGGAGCCGCTTTCCAGTCGTTTCCGGTTAATCAGAGGTTCTCGGCCGGTGATGATGACCTCCCAACAATGGCTTGTCATGTCAAAGAGTGAAAGGAAAGCATATCATTCCCTTCACGCTCTCGTGTACCAATGTCGAAATGTCAGACAATTCAGTTCCGGAAACACTAATGTTTCCTGACAAGAATCCAGCGGACGATGAAACTGCGAAGTCAGAGCCCATCGAGTTGACGATGAGTTATCGTCCAGGCCGTTCCTGCTCTCTGGGAGGAGCTAGTTATGGGGTGAGGTTCGAGAAAACATGACAGATTCGGGCTGCATACAAATTCACACTCAAAGTAGGCGGAAACGGTGCTTTGCCCGCCTCGAAGAGCTCCCCCGTCATTTCACGTGATTTCAACAGGCTCTCCATCTCCAGCTTCTGAGCCCTGCTTTCTTGGGACGAATGGCATCGCCTTCTATGATTCGGAGGAGTAGACTCGCTCGCGAAACCCGTGAGGGCCCGCTCGAGCGCCATGAAAGCATTTTCCGTTCGTATCCAATCTCAGTCACGTTTTTGAACTCCGCTCGATTCGGATCCTGTTCGCGCCCGAGCCTATAAGACTTCCTACGCTACTGCAACAAGGGACTGGACATCGCAATTCGAACAGCATCATCACACGCCGAAAACGTTGGCTCCAAGACGTGCGCCACATACCACAATCAGACGGTCACTGCTCATGACCTTTCCTCCGTAATTACGCGTTTGAAGCTCGAGTTTCGAGTCGCAGGATCGGAATCGGAAGCCAGTGCGCTCGGGAAATACCTACACCGATTCTTCCTCCCGTTTCGCCCGTTTTTCTTGTTCAGAGAAGATTTCATCACGCCTTACGATGAGGTTCATCGACAAGGGAGCTCGCTCGTCCAACGTTGAATGTTTCCTCAATTAAAGAGATCTCTTTTTCTTTGTTCCAGAAGCTACATGCGGCAAATGGCGACATTGGAAGCTGCGAAGGGGGCCTTTCCATGGGAGTTGGCAGCTGAACGCGGGGGACCAGAAGACGGCAACGTCGACAAAATCACCGACAAATGTCTCTGGTCAGCCTGCAAAGCGATCAGCGTCGGCCTCCTACTGATTGCGTGTGGGGCCGCCATGGCCGTTCTGGGTTTCTATTCCGATCATCTCTCGACGGTCGAGGAACGCCGGGGCAACAGCACGGTGCTCATAAAAAACGAAAACCGTGACTGGCAACTCGATTCGCTCACATACCTCGGGCCCATGGTCATGGGTCTGGGTGGTTTCATCATCGTGGCGACCTGTGTCATGACATTCGAAGCCAGGGAGAGCCGAGTGAGCAAACTCAGCTGGTTCAAGAGAACACGAACGTATGTAGCGCCAGGTTCGTCGGGCGCCACAAACGTCGTGTCTTCGCCCGGTGGCGTTCAGCCCGACCCGCCCAGCGACATATCGTGGGACCGGAGGAGTTTCTTCCTAGCGGGCGGGGGCCGGGGCAGCCCCTCTATAACAACGGAGCAGTCCAACTTTTCTTCAAATCGACGCCGTCGCAGCAGCTTCGGTGACATCGCGCCGCTACACAAGTACCCTTCAGAGCCAAGCTTGGCCCATCAAGTAGTCTCGCATCTACAACTAAGCTCGCTGTCCCCCGGAGCGCAAGGAGGACGGAGGATGTTCCCTCTCGAAGCAGCCGCAGCATCAGCCGCACCAACACCGCTACCAGCGACAGTATCGGCGTGCCCGACGTCCCCTGGCGCGGTCTCTTCCCCGCAGAATAAGGCGCTCCAGTCCCCAGGTGTGTAAGACTGGAAAGCAAAGATCCATAGCGACCTTACTCGAAAGCCAATGTGGATGTTGCTGGGAGCCGTGACGGCGACCACAACGACCATTAAAACAACAACAACAACAACGGCAACCACCGCAACATCGACGAAACCGCCTGTCAGAGACAATAATCCCCCGACTGCGGCGGCACCCTGCGATGTTACTGATAACGCATCGGAAGCGAATGCGATTTCCATGCATCGAATGCGAACAAAACTGTGCTAAACGTCGAGAGTTTCGTCTGCCCAAGCACAAAGACAGTTCATGCTCAGACTTGAAGCTGCCACTGACGAAGCACTCGTTTCATTTTTTTTCTACTCCCCCGTTATCCCTTTCCCCTTCCACCCCGTCGATTCTATGTAGGGTGGTTATCATTCATTTTACGGTTGATTCGGACCGCTTTTAAATCGCCGTGACCTTGTGCGACTGCTTCCTCGAGCTCCTCCGGAGACTCCGAGCTCATCGAAACTCAAGCCAGAGAAGCCGGATTTCCGGAGGATCTCTCGGTGCGTGATACCCAGGAAGTACACGGGAATCGTTGCGTTCTGCCCTTTCTGGAGTTTCAAATGTCACGGGGCGCAATGCACGTGGGATGCGGATTAAAAGTTTGACTACATTAGGACGAAAACCTTAAAGTTCGATCGAGCATCAGCGTGAGCTTCAGCCTGAATAGTGAGAGCTTCTCTGCGATTTTTCATTTAATCCTCCATCGTTCCTCATGAGATAATCAATGAGCATGACTGCTACCGTTTTCGATGTTCACTCTTGTCCCCCTAAATTTCCGTATCTGACCATGGAAGCTAGACCTAGCCACTCTATTAGCTCGATACGGTCTCGATAATGATAAAGCGGTGAAATTAATCGATTTGGTGTTTTAAGTAAAAGTGAATGGGTCGCCTGAATCATTCACAGACCTCTGCCGAGGATGTGTATACGGGGTGTAATCTCCCGATCTGAGCTTTGTCCCCTAAAAGTCCCTCCTCCACCCCCGCTCTCGAACGCCTAACTTCCCCCCCACCGCGCCTCAAAATTGTTTGCCCAGTAAGCCCCTCTGCCCTCCCGTATCCGTCGGTGCACTCTCTGCTCCTCCGGCCAGAATCGCGTACATTGATGGTGGCGATGATGATGGTGCCAATGAGATGTTGGCGCGATGATATGAGGATAAGGATCCTGGCTCTCTAGCAGGCAACGTTTCGAATTCTGTGAGTACGGCGCAGCATCTGGCTAGCCGTAGACTGTAGCCAATCGCCTTCAACTTGTCTCCAGCTCATGCTGCGTTCCCCTAACTGCCCCTCCCCCGACGAAACCCTCCCGGAACACTGCTCTCCTCCTGAACCGCTCCTATCCCCGATTGTTCAACGTACGCGTGCAATGCAAGACCAGCAGGCGCTGAATCCGAGCTGTGCCCGGGAGTAGCTCTCCTTCATGGGAAACAGTCATGACCGGCTGATATCCCGACTGACTGCCTGACTTGTTGACGGACTGATTCGACGGATAGATAAGAGTACTTGACGACTGACTCATCGACAGATCAGGTTCCACTCTCCCAATAGGGTTAGAGATATTCGACTCATTTTCTCCGGGGTCGAATAGAATCGCGAATCGAGACGAGGATTCGCGAACGTCCACAGCTCGGGCCGTGACCGGTGTCAAGCCTCGGTTCCCTAGTGCCTCGTCGACCCTTCGCGAATCCCCGCACAGAAAGCAATAGACACCAATGTGTTGTCTAGCGTTTCTTTACCCGTAGTCTATTGTCTTTCGGACGAGATAAAATTGTAATTGGCTGCGACAACGCTTGCAGTTTGCTCACCTCAGCGGCGGAACGTCGAATGCTCCCAAGGCCAGAGGCAACTCCTTAGTAACTCTCAGACCCTGCCACTGCGACAATCAATAAACCCGAATAGCCCTCGAGAGCTTTGTCACCATTTCATTGTTCGCAGGTCTTTTAAAGCCTCCGAGACAAGTTCGGTCTCCAAGGTGCTCGGCTGATCTCCGTCAAGTGCTCTCGTTCGACTGCCCTCCAGCCACTAGTGCGTTCGATGCGCGACCTCCACTGATTCAACAAAACTCCGCAACGTCTCAAAGCTCCATGACCGCCGAGCTTCACCTGCAAGAAGGAACGACCCGTTGGAGGATCTCTCGGACAGCTAATAGCAGCTCTCCGAGCGGAGTTATCGCGCTTCCGAGCGAGCTTTCTCGAGACAGTAATGCTGAAAATGACGCCGCATCGGAACAACGGCGTTTGTCCAATGCGGCGAAAAGTGACTCGACCGAAAGTAGATCACTCAAGACTCCGAGTCCTGCTCACAGACATCATCACAGGTGCGTAATTTTCTCCGGGTTTCATCCATGTGAACAATAGGTAGTGTGTGTGGTGGGGGGGGGGAGGCAAGTAGGTGAGTACCCCCGGGGGCTTCCTGACGGATTACTTCTGGTGGGAGCCGGGACTCGAACTAGGATCGTTCCCGGAAATGCTGGAATTCGGAATCTAATCCGAAGATCTTTTGCAGACACCATCACCATCATCATCATAGACACGGATCAGGCCATGAAAAAAGACGTCTTTCGTCGGCGACAACGTCCACTCATCATCATCGATTCGAGCTGCAGAGAGTGCAGACTATAGCTGTAGATTCGGGCCTGGGATCGCCACCGTGTGGTGAATCCCCGGTCATATCACCGCAGACCGAGAGTCCGAGCTCACCGAAACCTCCTTTGCTGTCTCAACAATCGTGCACCGTGAAACGGTTCCCGTTCGTTCGACAGACAGCCACCGAGGACAACGAGCGACATCCAAGCGTTTAGAGTAGGTAAATACGAATTCTCCGTGACGAAGTGGCTCCTGAACGACTAAGAAAGAGAAACCCCAAGCTCAACCTATACTCCTTCGGGGGCATCTCGAGCTTCATTGAGAAGTTCCGCATCGACGCAATACAGATAGACAGATATTCAATCATCAGGTACCTACTGACTGTTGGAGTGCGAGCCGACTGGATACAAATTTCCGATATCAATAACTCGCTGCAGCCGATTCTTATATCTCTTCATGTTCATCATTATTGGGCCGATTCATCGTTGTTAGACGATATTCACCATATAGCAATCGGGTGGTGGGAACTAAAGCGAAAGGTGCGTGAGCATCTCGTCTCATTGGGACTGCGAAAAAAGAGGATATATAGGCGAATGAATCAAGACAGAGGATATCACGGATGGATGTGAAACATTCCAAAAGCGCTTTTCCTCAGCCAAAATCCGAGACGGATATGATGTAGAATAGCGAACTTTCAATATATCAGTCAATCGACCAAAGTCTATCAAGCTGAAGTATCCTCACCTAGCCGATCGACAATCCATGCGCACCCCACCCCCTGTCGGATTCCTCCCTCATGAGAAGAGCCACGGATGATTCCCGGGAGTAAAATAGAAGGTGCGAAAAAATAATTCATTGATGAAGTAAATACCTCAAACCGTCTCCTCACAAATGAATAGGCATCCCAGATCCGGAGGGTGCACAGTAGGATCCATCTCACTACAGATTGATAACACTCGGAAAGGGTGAAGGGGAGGAAGTGAGCGAGTTGTCGTATTGCTGCACTCTCGGACCCTTCCGAGATCCTGGGCCTTCTTCCCGACTTCCCGTTGTAATGATTCTAGTGGTCGTATGCTATCTCACTCCCTGTCCCCTGCTCGCTCTCCTTTCTGGAGGTGTTCTTCGGCGGGTTCGGGAACTCCGTGAAATTCTTCAAGACGAGCGAATAATGTTGATGCTTCGCGTGTACAGTAGAGTTTGTGATGTGCTGTTTTTCCTCCGTTCTCCTGGAGATGGTCAAAACTTACTGTATCCATTTGTAGATTTGTAGAAAATTCTCGTTATAAGAGCTAACGCACTCTGGAACCAACTTTGATGGTAAAAAAACCCTTCGAACTTTGTCGCGGCTAGCCGACGATTCCTCAGAGATGCATTTCTTCGGGATAGTTTTATCGGGGTTGGCAGAAATACCCACGGACGGATGCATCGACATCGGTGTTGATATCGATATCGAAGGGAATAATAAAGGAGCGAGTAGAGTTGAATGAGAGGGAATTCATGCTTTATGATTTAACTGCGAATCCCGATCGGAGGGATTTTCGCGATGCGATTGAATATATGTATCGAGCAGTCTTCGAATCCTTCCAGCTTGGTCATCGAAGGAGACCCGGACCTGTTCGAGCTACCGAATAGGAGTCCTTCACTGGAAGGGAGCACGTCACACGCAATTCGCCGCGTACCAGCATGGTGGAGAAACGATAAAGGCTGATGAATCGGTGAGGGGTGGATAATTCGGGAATGAGGACTCATACATCCCGGCGGATGTCTATTATGATCCTTTTGATCGCAAATCGGGTGGCACTCAAGTCACAGCCGACATAGGAATCTGAGCGCTTGCACGACAAACTCGATAGCGCGATGAACTACCATGTGCTCTGGCGATAGTATAATTCATCATTATTATGACGGAGCGTACATGAACAAATAGGATCTCGGTCGGTCTCACTGCCGAAGTTTTTGAAGCTTTTCCCGAATCGTGTCAACACGGAGTTTGAAGACCGTATGGGTCGTGCAGCAGATATCCAGCAGATTGAGGTAGTCGTTCACGACCGCGTTCCAGATTTCCAGAGCTCGGGGACGAGCCGCAAGCTCGGCTTGTGCGGGGTCCGCTAGACACTGGAGCAGACTCTGGATATTCTGCAACGCCTCCGAAAACTCTTTTGCGAGTTTTTCCATCGCCGCACTCCTCATAAGGGGAACAATGGCTGAGACTCCGAAACGAGTCTGCGCACCCGGAACACATTCAAAAACATTCTGCTCGAATGAGAAATTTCGGAACAACGAAGTGGATATCCACACCTTCGATGTTCGATTATCCGAGAGCGACGTCAAGGCGCTCCAAGTGTACGCGAAATCGCAATCTGACGACCAGGTCTCCCGCTCGGTTATTTGAGGCTCGTTTCCCGTTAAGAGAAATTCCGCGCCCTTCCGCACCTAACCGCGGGGGATCGGGGATCGTGTAGCCGAGCCGTCTAAGGACAAACTCCTCGTCGTCAGAAGGAGTAAGACTTCGCCGAGCTGAGGTAGAATGATATCGGTCTAGGTCACCATCCGCAAACTCTCACTGAATGGCGGGGATGCTCCTCCTATCCAGGTGAGCGCGGACTCCAGCTCACGGATGGCTGCACAGTCTGAATTCATATGCCGAGGCCGAGATTCAGGACGACTTCCGGATTCCTTGAGGGCAATAGGCTGGCCGTTTGAGGACCCAGTTGCAACCGCAGTTGACCACCTTCGCTTGCCCTCTGATGCGAGAGCGACAATCCGCACAGCTTTTTCCGATTCGACAAGGTGTGCTCTCGTAGGGGAGTTTCTAATCGGCGCCGGCGCGGCGCTGGTGCGAAGTTACCGGAACTGCGGGCGCGCACCGCTCTGCTATGACATGCCGCTCGCAGAAGATGAGTAAAAAAAATCCCGTAGTCGAAAGACCAAAGTCCCCCCGAGCCTTCGCAGAGGAGCCGAACAGCGCTTCCAAATATCCTCCCTCACCATCCCAGAGATCGCTCTACTTCTCCATGAGGAACCAGAAGAACAACTCGTTCGTCGTTCTCGGCGCCTACCGACGACAGTCTTCTCGGAATTTTCACTGTGTCCCGGAAAAGCGTTTCGTTTCGTTTCCTTACTCCTCGAGCGCAGAAGGCGATCAGGCACCCAGTCAGCGACTCGGTGGCTCTCACCTCGAGCTCCAATCGATTCGGAGACGGATCTCGCCAAACACGCTGCTGGTCGGCGCAAGACCTTCAATCGTTCTCCGGGGAGCTGCTCTCCCCAGATTCCCGGTCGTTCGTTCCGATATGCCATCGGAGTTTCGTCGCTTTCATAGGCGGCTGGAAGAAATTCCATTAAACGCTTCCGCAATTGAGAGCTTTTTTTCTTGAAAAGAGGAAGTATCGTAGAATCATCAAGCTTTTCCAATTAGCCCGCGCTGAGCTAGACTGTGGGGGTCTCCGAGTTTCCCCCAGGGCATATCTCCCAGGCCTGTGAATAAGATATAATCTCGCTCCGTCTCGCGGTGGGAAGTCGCGTCAGCAAGCGATACGAAATTCCGGACAGCCGTCAAGGTTCTCATGAGTAAGAGACGAGATAGGCTTGCCGAAGCGAAATTGAACTGATCTCCCTGTCGGACAATCGCGAGTTTCAATCAGGCAGCTGAAAGGAGCCCGGGATGCTTCCCGATGACTCCGCGCGCGGAAGCAATCAAGTGGTTAAGAGCAGTCGATTTCAACTCTGCCTAATGCTTTCGACGGCTTCCTCTCTCTCACAATCACAATCATATGCGGATTGCGATCCCTTGCCAGGATGTTCGTTCGCTCAGCCGGGAGGAAAGTGCTTCGTTCGCTCCTTCTCGTATCTCTGGCTGTTGCGGAAGTTGAACTCGTATGCGACGGTTAAGCTCTTTGAGCTGGCCCCTGCGCTTCCTTAGAGTTGGGAGACTGAATTTCGTGCCTCTGCAGCAGAGACGATCATCGTGGCGCAGTCCATCCCAAGACGTATCAACGTGGAGTCCATCGCCCCATCGCCTTGGAGCTCAGCCACTCCGTGTTGGAAGTCCGCTTCCACGTCGGCCAAACCAACCATGTAGGGCAGACTTACCCAGGGAGGGATGAGCAGGTCCCGCAAGTCACTGAATCTGACACGGAAATCCTCCATCATCGAAGTCAAATGTTCGGATATGACCCGCACAGCCCGCTTCGCCACTTTGCATTTCTTCAATCAAGAGAAGTGGGTGGAAATCTCCAGATACAGTGTCTTCTTTATTAGCTCCAGGAGTTTAATGAAGCCCATGATTTCCGTCTCGGCATCCAGCAGGATTGATTTTTTGCCCTGGAGTTGTTTGTTCGATGTATTCAGTCGGTCGAAAACATCAGCGAGGTTACTAACAAAAGCCTTGCCGTCGATTGTACAGAGGATATCCATCCGCTCCTCTCCCTTCAGGAACTCGGACAATTCATCGAACAATTCCATCAATCGTCGCAAGATACTACCCTTCGAAAGCCATCTGACGTCTGTATGAAGCAACAATCTTACATGATTACACAATCAAAAATCAGCGTCGGAGTCCAAGCAGAATTGCTTGAAGAGGCGTTCGGATTTCGCTTTGGCCTTGATGGAGTTCACGCATTTTATCACAGCTTCCATGATATCATACAAGACAGGGGGAAGTTTCTTCGCCGCTAAATTCTCTCGGTGAATCATGTAGTGTATAATCGGCATTCTAAGATTCTGATCTTTCATTCGTTTTAGATAGCCTTTCTTCATCATCGCCGGCGCCCCATCAGCGGTGCAGGACACGATACTCCCCATGGGGGTCTCCAGCCGAGAGAGGTGATCGCCGGGAATTTCAAAAATATCTCTGCCGGTCGTCGTAGTTCCGAGGGCCTTGCAAAAGAGCATCTCCTCATGTACTGCACCATCATCGACGTACCTTACGAAAGCCATGAGAATTGCTTCACTGTCTTTGACCGTCGCCTCATCTAGTCGGAGGGAAAAAAAAGCGTTCTGAGCTTCTCGACCAACTGATTTTCAACATCGCTACCCATGCGATCGATCCTCCAGCGCACAGTATCGTTGCTCAGAGCTATTCTTCTAATCTCCGCATCGTCCTTCTGGAAGACGATCTGAACAAGCATGGGGATCGCACGCTTCATCAATCCTTCTCCATCTGTGTGACTTCTCCCAGCTTTTGCTATGGGTAACGAGATCCCATAAGTAGCGTTCTGAGCTCGGTCCAAAGAAGCGCCCGACGAGATGA